CTTCGGATGGTTATCAACATATTAGCTAATAATTCGTGTAGTTTGAAATGATTTTTCTTTATTTTTTAGAAGTTTTGCAAAGAAATACAAAATTCGTGAGCTTTGGCAATTTTCCAAATATATTTCTTCCATTTTGAAATTTCAGCAATAACGAAATTGGAAATCTTACTCAACAACGCACTTCTTTAATAACCGCTTGACGTGTAAAGGGAGTCCTAAACAAAAAGGACTTCCTATTGAAATAAACTTCCCCAATTTACTTAGTACTTATCGCACTACACAATCCCAATCTCTCTCTCTCTTCTTCCTCCACAATCGTCAATGGCTTCTTGCGTCACCGGAACAGAGGCATCGATTCGAGCTTTAGCATGTAGAAACGGAGTCGAAGCTTCTCATCTAAAGCTAATCTCAGTCTTCGTCATCTTCCTCACAAGCGTCCTCGGGATTTCGGGACCTGTTCTCCTCGCTCGTTACTTCCATGGAAAACCTCTCTACGATAAAGCGATTCTCATCATAAAGTGTTTCGCCGCCGGAGTTATTCTCTCGACGTCGCTAGTCCACGTCTTGCCGGAGGCTTTCGAATCGCTCGCCGATTGCCAGGTGTCTTCACGACATCCTTGGAAAGATTTTCCGTTCGCCGGTCTGGTGACTATGATCGGAGCAATAACGGCGTTGTTGGTTGATTTAACGGCGAGCGAACATATGGGACACGGTGGTGGTGGAGGGATGGAGTATATGCCGATGGCGGCGACGGTTGGGGGGTTAGAGATGAAGGAAGGGAAGTTTGGGGCTGATTTGGAAATACAAGAAAGTAATGAGGAGGAAATAGTGAAGATGAAACAAAGATTAGTTTCACAAGTGCTTGAGATTGGGATTATATTTCATTCAGTGATAATTGGAGTAACCATGGGAATGTCACAAAATCAGTGTACCATTAGACCGTTGATCGCTGCTCTTTCTTTTCACCAGATTTTCGAAGGTTTGGGTCTTGGTGGTTGCATCGCTCAGGTCAGTTTTTTTTTTTTTGTAACTAATTATTCATGCATATTGAATTTTCGACAAAAAAAAAGAGTTGAAATTGTTAGGAGAATAATAAATATGTTGAAAAATATGTGTTGGTGGTACTACTTCTGACTTGTTAAATAATAATTATAAAAAATATATATAACTTTGAAGAAGTATAGTTAGATAGACTTGTGTATAGATGTTGACATTTTTGCATATTAATGTCAACATTCTAATTAGAGATATTTATTCCTGTTTACCAGTCCAAACCAAAATTGTAGCAAAAGTAAACCATTGAAAATCGTTTAAATAAAAAAATCCAACCGAATGAAATTCGTGTTTAATTTGGTTTATATTTATATATATAGTT